GAGACAAATATGATGAGTTATGAGATCTATAATAATATAAGGAAAGCTCATAATAAAAATAAGAAAACCCACAAAACCCTAACAAGTACTGAAAAATGGTAACAATTCACTAAAAATACAAGTTGCTAAAAAACATGAAAAAATATTCATCCTGTTAAAGGAATGCAAATTAAAACAATGAAATGTTATTTAAAAATATCCAATTAGCAGAGAAAGAAATAATAACATTCAATGCTGCATCCCCTTAAGATGTAAAGCTCCTCCTGTTTTTATATTTGTTTGGGTTTTTTTTTTTTTTTTTTTTTTGAGACAGTCTCGCTTTGTTGCCCAGGCTAGAGTGAGTGCCATGGCCTCAGCCTGGCTCACAGCAACCTCAATCTCCAGAGCTCAGCGATCCTTCTGCCTCAGCCTCCCGAGTAGCTGGGACTACAGGCATGCGCCAACATGCCCGGCTAAATTTTTGTATATATATTTTTAGTTGGTCAATTAATTTCTTTCTATTTTTGGTAGAGACGGGGTCTCGCTCAGGCTGGTTTCGAACTCCTGACCTTGAGCAATCCGCCCACCTCGGCCTCCCAAAGTGCTAGGATTACAGGCGTGAGCCACCGCGCCCGGCCTTGTTTGGGTTTTAAAACAAGTTGTTTTTAAAATAATTAATGCTTGCAAGGGTGTGGTGAGATGAAAACACTCATACACTGACTGGGGACAATGGCAGTCAGTGTAACTTTTAAACAATTTATGCAGAGTATCAGCATATTTTTAGATTTTTGTGGTTTAAGTTCATACTCTTTGACCATTAATTCTACTACTATGAATCCAAATATTAAAAATAATCAGAGATGAAGACAAAGATTTACATGCAATTTTATTTACCACAGTTATTTATAACCCCCTCGATCAGAAACGCTACAATGCCAAACATTACGGAAATTGGTCATTATAAGATTAAATATTACGCAGCCATTAAAAATTATCTCAGATTATTTACTCGAGAGGAGAAATGTATAGAATACGGTTAAGCAAAAAGGAAGGATGCACAATTTTAATGTAGTTTTACCTAAAACTATGTTTAAAAGAAGGAAGAGATTTTGCATCCTGTCCTGTTATTCTGCGGAATTCGTTTATTATTTCTAAAAGGTTTTGGTGGGAATCTTTTAGGGATTTCTACATATAAGATCATAGCATCTGTGAACAGAGATAATTTTACTTCTTCCTATCCAATTTAGATGCATTTTATGTCTTTTTCATATCAAATTTTTTGACCAGGACTTACAATATTATGTTAAACAGAAGTGGCAAACTTGAGGATCCTTATCTTTGTTCCTGATCTCAGAGGAAAGCTTGAATCTGTCACCATTTAGTAAGATGTTAGCTAAGTAAAAGAATATGTAATTAACACATAAGAATCAGTTTTGTTTCTATATGCTACTAATGAACTACCTAAATATGAAATTAACCAAAAAATTCCATTTCAACAGCATCAAAAAGAATAAATTACTTAGGAATTAACTTCATCAAGGAGGTGAAAGACTTATATACCGAAACTAAAAAACACAGTTGAATGAAATTAACAGAAACACAAGCAAATGGAAAGACATTCCATAATGAAGGATTGGAAGACTGAACATTAAGATGACTACTACACAAAGCCATCTATAGATCCAATGCAATCTCTATCAAAATTCAAATGAAGCTAGGCATGGTAGCTCACACCTGTAGCTCCAATCTTTTGGGAGACTGAGGCAGGAGGACCCCTTTCTTGTGCCCAGGAGTTGGAGGTGAGCTACCAACACACCACTGCACTCTAGCCTGGGAGACTCTGTCTCTTAAAAAAAAAAATCCAAGAGATTTTTCTTGAAGAAGTAGAAAGATCCCTCCCCTAAAGTTCACATAAAATTCCAAGGGACTATGAATAGCCAAAACTATTTTGAAAAAGAACAAAGTTGAAGGAAAAACACTTCCTAATTCCATAATTTACTACCAACCAACAGTAATCTACACAGTGTGGTACTGTTATAAGAACAGAAATACAGATCAATGGCATGGAATAGAGAGCTCAGAAACAAACCCTCACATACCTAGTCAAATGATTTTCTACAATGGTGCCAAGACCATTCAATGGGGACAAAGGCAGTCTTTTCAACAAATGGTGCTGGGAAAAGTGAATATCCACCTGTATAAAAATGGAGTTTGACCCTTGCCTCATAGTATACAAAATTAACTCAATGACAAAGGCATTGGCAACAAACGAAAACATAGATTGAGTTGGACTTCATCAAAATTAAAAACTTTTAGCTGGGCATGGTGGCCTATGCCTGCAACCCCAGTACTGTGGAAGGCAGAGGTGGGAGGATCGCCTGAGGGCAGGAGTTTGAGATCAGCCTGGGATACACAGCAAGACCCCATCTCTACAAAAAAAAAAAAAAAAATTAAAAACTTTTATGCATCATAGGATATTATCAACTGAGTAAAAAGGTAACTTGTAAAATGAGACAAAATATTTGCAAATCACATATCTGATAAAGGATTATAAAGGATTAATATCCAGAATATACAGAGAAATTCTAAAACTCAAAATTAAAAAACAACCCAATTAAAAAATAGGCAATGAAGATGAATACATATTTCTCAAAAGAAGATATACATATGGCCAATAGCACATGATAAGATGCTCAACATCACACTAATCATTAGAGAAATATGAATCAAAAGCACAATGAGATACCATTTCTCATCTACTGGGATGGCAAATGTCTAAAAAACAGAAAGTAAATGTTGGCAAGCATGTGGAGAAACTGGAACCCTTGTACTCTGCTAATGAAAATGTACAATGGTGCAGCCACTTTGGAAAACAGTATGGTAGTGTTTCAAAAAGTTAAAAATAATATGATCCAGTAATTCCACTTCTGGGTAGATTCCCAAGAGAAATGAAAGCAGAGGTTTGAATAGGCACTTACAGATCAATGTTCACAGCAGCATTATTCACAACAGCCAAAAGATGAAATAACATAAGTATCCATTATAGATAAATGAACAAAATGTGCCATATAAATGCAATGAGATATTATTCAGCTATAAAAAGGAAGGAAATTCTGATACACAGTATAACATACACGAACCTTGAATACAGTATGCTGTATGATTCCACTCCTATGAGGTACTTAGAGACAGAAAGTAGAATGGTGGTTATCAGAGAGAGAAGAGTATAGGAAATTATTCTTAAATGGGTACAGAATTTCAGTTTTGCAAGATGGTAAAAGTTCTATGGATGGATGGTGGTGAAGGTCATACAACTACCTAAATGTACTTAATATCACTGAACTGTGCACTTTTAAAAAATGGTTAAAGTGGCAAATTGTTAAGTGTATTTTACCACAATTAAAAATGGAAAAAATTATGGAAAAAAAAGAGAGAGAAAGAAATCAGAGCAACATATTTTATAGCTAAACATGTCAAAGAATTAAGTTGGGCTATCCCTTGGTGATGGGACTTAAATGAATATGATTTTCCACTTTATACTAGTCAGTATTTTCTAAATTTTTCATAATGTGTATGTTTTGTCCATTAAATTAAAAATAAAAGTTTGGTGATTTTTTAAGTAGTCTTAATTTTGAGGCTAAAAAGTTTTAAACAAAAAATTTTCTAAAATTATCACAAAAATTATTAAATAGTATTTCTAAACAGAATCTCCAAATTATTTCTAGCATCAGTCATTTATGAATATAAATTCACCTCTATCTTAATTGCTTCTAAGAAAGTGCAAAGACTTTCTAAAGTTCTCTTTATTCTTAACTATGATACTGACATATACTTTTGGACATTATTAATGCTACTTCTTCCTTCATACAAAATTCACATATATGTCAAAATTACAAGTTTTAACTGATTTTTAGGTTAACATCTATAAAATAAAAAAGCATGCTAGTCATTGCCTTTATTATTTTGTTATTCAAAGTTTCCTATCACAACTATAGGTCACAAATATCATTTGTATCTTTCAGTATTATAAATAGTTGTTTTTTAAAATGCCACTGATTCCATTCACTTCATTCTCTCTCTCCCTGTTTGTCTTTTTAACTATACATCTCTCAGACTTTTTAAAAAGGAATAATCAGAGAAATAGATATATTATATTGTTATTCTATATATACAAAAGCATTAAAGGGTTAACTAAATATAACAGAAAATTTATGTGCATTATAATTATCAGCAAACAGAAACTACCCTTATAAGTAATTAGTTTACATTTTATAAAAATTGAAAGTACTTAACCCTAACACATAAGTTGTATTAACCACCTGAAATAATGATTCAATGACTTTAAAAATATTTCGATATTAATATGAAAACAAAAAATTTTAAAGTATTGCATACCTGTTACACGTTAAGCATTCTGCCAGAAAACAGTGACGACAATAATTAAACAAATGTGGCTGTTTTCCTAATAGACTTTAATAACCTTGTTTAGTTAGTACGTTTCTTTTATAAAACTCTTCAAACTACAGGATAATTTGTTGAAATCTATTTTTCTTAAATACAACATTTCCTGATATGAAGTAATTTTACCTGTTACCTGAATCTATAATTATACGTTGAACATCTGCTATCACCCACAATTGATTCATTAACAAACCTAGAAAAATTATGTGCTATTAAATGCTATATACAAAGTATGCTCTATCTTCCATGTAACAAAGTTTCACATAGCAAAGTTGTTCTAGGCTGTATACAGTCAACTATCTTTCAGCAGCCTTTAATCCAATTTATGTTTTCACTTAATTCGATAGAATTATTTGTGGACTAACTATACTGAAATAATACTAACAAAGAGATTCAAAGTTGTTTAACAGAATGAAAGCAGTGCTTTTGAAATGTCTGCCAGATACTTCATAGACTATTCAGAAATATTAGCTTATAATCAGTAAGATAAATCTACTGATTATATTCTTATTTTAATACAAACAAATGAAATTACTTAATAAAACAGGAACAGATCTTACCAATGCAGGCCACTGAATCTGTTTGCTCTTTGATCCCTGAGTCTGGCTAGGGTCATTCCTTCTGGCCCAGATTAAGTGGTATTCCACCAAGAAGGTTGAAAAATCTTCATAAACTTTAACCCACTCTCGTTTATCCCAATCAAGATCATCAAATTCCACATACACCTTTGAAAATGAAAACAAAAAATTTCATAAGCAAAGCAGAACAGTGATATTTCTCTTTTCTAGTGATACATAATAATTGTACATATTTATGGGTTAAATGTGATATTTTAATACATGTATAAAAGGTGTAATGATCAAATCAGAGTAATCAGGATATCCATCACCTTAAACATTTATCACCTGTATTTAGAAGCATTTTAAATCTTTCTTCTAGCTATTCTGGAATACAGAATAAATTACAGTTAACTATAATCACTCTGCCATACTATCAAACACTAGAATTTATTCCTTGTTTTCTAACTGCAGGATATGGACAAAAATGAACTCTAGTACACTCTTGGTAGGTATGTAAAGTAGTACAGCAACTATGGAAAACATTATAGAGATTTCTCCAAAATCTAAAAATAGAGCTACCATGTGATCCAGCAATTCCACTGCAGGGTACATATCCAAAAGAAAGAAAATCAGCATATTAAAGAGATATCTGGAAGCCAATGTTTACTGTAGCACTAATCACAATAGCCAAGACATGGAATCAACCTGTGTCCATTAATAGATGAATAGATAGAGAAAATGTATTATATACATAATGGAATACTATTCAGCCATAAAAAAGAATGAAATCTTGTCATCTGCAACAACATCAATGGAATGGGAGGTCATTATGTTAAATAAGCTAGGCATAGAAATACAAATATAGCATGTTCTCACTCATACTTGGGAACTAATAAAGTAGATCTCACAAAGGTAGAGTAGAATGATGGTTATCAGATACTGGGAAGAGAGAAGGGGGAGATGAAGAGAGGTTGGTTAATGGGTATAGTAATATTTCAAAATATATGCCATGAAGTTGAATTTTATAAAGCCATTAACAAATTATTTAACTTAGTATTTCTCTTAAAAGCAATATTTAACTAACTTCTCTTAACCAGATTATACCTCTTACTTATTTCTATGACAAGGAAATACACCATAAATGTTTAAGAAAAGCAATTTACAGAGTGTTGATTGGTACAGATTGGTCCTTATTTCCTAAATAAACACTAAAGAACTATTTCTATAGAACTGATTCTAGAAGCAGAGGCTGGAAAATGTTTTGAGCTTGACTTCTGTTCTAAGAAAACATTACTGGCTGGGCATGGTGGCTCACGCCTGTAATCCTAGCACTCTGGGAGGCTAGGCTGGCAGATTGCTCGAGGTCAGAAGTTCAAAACCAGCCTGAGCGAGACCCTGTCTCTACTAAAACTACAAAGAAATTAACTGACCAACTAAAAATATATATAGAAAAAATTAGCCGGGCATGGTGGCGCATGCCTGTAGTCCCAGCTATTTGGGAGGCTGAGGCAGAAGGATTCCTTGAGCCAAGGAGATTGAGGTTGCTGTGAACTAGGCTGATGCCAGGGCACTCACTCTAGCCTGGGCAACAAAGTGAGACTTTGTCTCAAAAAAAGAAAACATTATTTACAAAGGAAGTCAGTGGTGCTAGAATGGTTCAACATATGAAAATCAATCAATGTAAGACACATTAACAGACTAAAGGAAAACATTATCTTTAATGATGCAGAAAAAGCGTCTCACAAAATTATTATGATAAAAAAACACTCAACAAACTAGGAATAAAAGGAAACTACCTCAATACAATAAAGGTCATATATAAAAACTCCACAGCTAACTTCATACTCAATTTTCAGTTAAAGACTGAAAGTGTTTCCTCTAAGATAGGAACAAGACAAGGATATTATAATTTTGAATACTGAAGCTGGCTTTTATACTCATAGGTCATTGAATCATTCAACCTTTCCTTCCTCCACTTTCATCCTTTCTCAATCATTCTCTACAATTATGTCTGCATACAACTGTCTTCCCAATTCTATTATGAGTTATGTTAGAGGCAGTCTTATTCTTACTTTTTGTCTTGTGTCACACATCTGTTGCTGCCTTACAGCTGAACAGATTCCACTGCCATTTACTTAAAACATGCTTGTTCTTCTTGCCCAGTTCAAGTTTTTCCATGATGTTTATGCCCCTCACTTCAACTCAAACTTAGTTTTTAACTCCTTCAGTAGTTATTAATGTTTTTCATACAGCTTATACTGTATTAGTATATAATCAAATACTGTCCTATATTTTAAAACATAAGAATATCTTTAAATTATACATGTAAACTCACTGAAGATAGAATTGTTTTTTTATACGTTTATACTACCCCATACAGTCCTGCATACATACAAAGCATTTAATAAGTATTAAATATCCCCTGACTCTTGCAATAATGGATTGTTAAACATGAAGGCAAATTGGTAAAAGTTTGACTTTTTGGTGTTTGTGCTGCTGTCCATTAGGAAGCTAGTTACATGTGTTTATCTGTTAGAATGAGCAAAGATAGGAATGAAGTGGTCAAGAAGTTAATATCTGTTCCTACTTAACTATCCATACCAAATCAGGGAAGGAAACCAAGTCAAGGAAGAAGCCAACTATTGGCTTCTTCTAATAAAGCCTATCCTCTTGGCCGGGCGCGGTGGCTCATGCCTGTAATCCTAGCACTCTGGGAGGCCGAGGCGGGAGGATCGCTAAAGGTCAGGAGTTTAAAACCAGCCTGACTCACTCTAGCCTGGGCAACAAAAAGAGACTCTATCTCCAAAAAAAAAAAAACCAGCCTGAGCAAGAGTGACACTCAGCTAGCTAAAAATATATAGAAAAAATTAGCCAGGCATGGTGGTGCATGCCTATAGTCCCAGCTACTAGAGAGGCTCAGGCAGGAGGATCACTTGAGCCCAGGAGTTGGAGGTTGCTGTGAACTAGGCTGATGTCATGGCACTCTAGCCCAGGCGAGTAGGACTCTATAGCAAAAAAAAAAAAGAATGAAGGTGATACAAGACAAAGGCCGGGCGAAATAATTAATTAAAAGTAATTATTTAATAGTGAATATTAGAACTGGTCTCTAGGTAATTTAACACATGTCTTCTACAACAGATGTCAACATGCATAAATTCTCAGTTTCATATATGTAGGTATTGAAAGAAGAGCTATCAGACCGTTTGCAAGAAACCATTTGCAAGAAAACAAGAAATATTTAATATAAGCAACAGTTATACAATTCAAATACTGCTATTTTGCACACTCTTAACCCTTGAACTCTTCAAACACAATTATTGCTTGTATAGAGAATGCTTCTTTTTCTCCTACATGGGCTTAATCATTTCAAAGTGGCAAATGGCTTCTGGTTACTTGGAGACCTATATTCAACTCAGATATCAAAATAAGAATATTAGAGCTAAGAAATATTTTATTCTAAATTACAATTCAAATTCTACCAATTTATTATTTTAGGACCTCTAAATAAACTATAATCTTTATGTATAATGTTATAGTTATGGGAACAAATATTTTCACATGTTTACTTAGATATATACAGCAAAACTGCTAGCTATGTAAGAGTCAACTAATGTAACCATTTGAAAAATGTTTCAGAATAGTATTATGGGGAATACTACCAATATACCTTGGAGATATTTCAGGTTCAGTTCCAGACCGTCACAATATAAAGAGTATCCCAATAAAGCAAGTAACATGAATTTTTTGGCTTCCCAGTGCATATAAAATTATACCTACACTATACTGTAGTCTATTAAGTGTGCAATATAGCATTTTATCTAAAAAACAACATATATAACCTTAATTAAATATATGTTACTGCTAAGAAAATGGCTAAGGATCATCTGAACCTTCAGCAAGTTGACCTTTTTGATGGTGGAGGGCCCTGCCTCAATGCTCATGGCAGCTGACTGTTAGTTTAGGGTGGTGGTTCCTGGAAGTGGGGTGACTTATTATAATTTCTTATAATAAGATAACAGTGAAGTTTGCTACACTTATTCACTCTTCCTTTCATGAACGATTTCTCAATAGCATGTGATACTGTTTGATGGCATTTTACCCACAGAACTTCTTTCAAATTTGGAGTCAATCGTCTCAAACACTTTCACTGATTTTTAAACAATGTTTATGTAATATCCTAAATTCTTTGTCAGTTCAGTAATGTTCATAGCATCTTCACCAAGAATAAGTTTCATCTCAAGAAACTACTATCTTTGTTCAGTCATAAGAAGCAATCCCTCATCCTTCAAGTCTGATCATGAGATTGCATCAATTTTGTCACATCTTCATGTTCCACCTCTAATTCTAGTTCTCTTGCTATATCTACCACATTTGCAGTTACTTCTCCCACTGAAGTCTTCAATCCCTCAAATGTTGATGTTTTGACTTCCTTCCATTAATCACATTAATCTTTTATTTGTTTGTTTGTTTTTGATACGGAGTCTTGCTCTGTCACCAGGACTAGAGTGCCGTGGTGTTAGTCCAGCTCACAGCAACCTCAAACTCCTGGACTCAAGCAATCCTCTTGCTTCGGTCTCCTGAGTAGCTGGGACTACAGGCGCGCACCACAGTGTCCAGCTATTTTCTATTTTTAGTAGAGACAGGGTCTCAGTCTTGCTCAGGATGATCTCGAACTCCTAACCTCAAGCGATCTGCCCCCTCAGCCTCCCAGAGTGCTAGGGTTACAGTCTTCAGCCACTGTGCCCAGCCCACAAATATTCTTAATGGCATCTATAATTGTGAATCCTTTCTAGAATTTACTTTGCCCAGATCCATCAGAACAGTCACTGTCTATTGCAGCTATAGCCTTATGAAATGTTTTTCTTAAATAATAAACCTCGAAAGTAAAAATTACTCCTTGATCCATGAGCTGCAGAATGGAAGTAGTTGTGGCAATCATGAAAACATTAACCTCCTTAGATGTCTCCATCAGAGTTCTTGGATGATCAGGTGCATTGTCCAATAAGCAGTGATATTTTAAAAAGCAACCTTTTTTCCTGAGCAATAGGTATCAAAAATGAGCTTAAAATATTCAATAAACCATGCTATAACCAGATGTGCTGTCACCTAGGCATTGCTGTTCCATTTATAGAGCAGGTAGAGTATGCTTGACATATGATAATTCT